GCCTTCCTAATGCCGGGACCCTTTAATACAGGCCCTCGTGTTGTGGTGACCCCCAACCATCACATTATTGTTGCTACTTCATCACTGTCCTTTTGCTACTGTCATGAATCAGGCGACCCCTGTGAAAGGGTCGTTCGACCCACAGGTTGAGAACCGCTGGCTTAGAGAGAAATGGAGAGTCTGAGACTGGGAGAGAGACGGGCAGACCCACAGAGCTTCGGAAGAGACATTCCAGATGGGAGTGGGGGTCAGTGGGAGAGTGAAAGAGGAGAGACCCCAGACAGACCATCGTACTAATTCATCATCGGGGAGAGCAAGATGGAGAGAGACAGTCACAGAGACAAGACGGTACATACGGATAGCAAGGGACTGAGAGAGGGGCACAGAGACATTCAGACAGAGTGGGAGGCGGGGACACACAGAGACAAATGAAGACAGAAAGACAAACAGAGAGAAAGAGAGAGAGAGAGAGAGAAACAGCCTCAGAATGGCAGTAGCAAGAGCCAGACAGAGAGCCATGGCATCAGAGAAGAGGCGTGGAGTGAGCATGAGAGGGGGGCAGCAGAGCCCAGGACGAAGGCCAACAGTGGACTGCCCCGATCTCTGGCCACTGGAAGCAAATCTCCTCTCAGATCATTCTGGGCCCCCAAACAGGGATGGGGAGAACCTGAGAGGGCGTATTGCTCTGCTTGATAGAGGCACATTGGGGGGCGGCCGGGGACAAAGTGGGAAGCTCCCTCCCTGGGGGAGAGGCTGGTCAGTGACCACCCAGGATCCCAGCAGTACACCCACTGGCCTCACACAGAACCGGGCCTCCCGCCCAGGATGGCCGCCCGCCCACCGCCTGGCTCCAGTCTGATTACAACCAAAGCGCTAAAAGGCTCCAGACCCCATGTTCCACCCCCACAGCCCGCCTCCTCCCAGCCTTGTCCTTTTCCCTTAGTGCCCTGCTCTTCCTTTCTCCAGTCCCGCAGAGGAGCAGCCTGGCCCCCTTGGGCGCTCTCTGGCCCCCTGAGAGGGTGCTCCTGTGGCAAGCTGGCCTCCCTGAGCTCCCTTCCTGGAGCAGGGACTCCACAGTCCTTCTCTCACAGCCAGTTGGCCTCCCCTGGGAGCTCATAAATGCTGAGAAGTAGGGAAGACTGTGTGTGAAGCCGGCCTCCCTCAAAGCTCCCTGGGTTCTTCCCAAGCCCCCTTCTCTTTCCCAGATACCTGCCTGGAAGGAGGTGTTAGGGGCCGGGCCAACCTGGGCTCCTTTCAGAGGAGACCCACCTCAGTTTGCAAAGATGTCTGCGAATCCCTTATGCACACAGCAAGTCCAGGAATTCATTCCTTGACTCCCACTTGGTCCTCCTCCAGCCTCTTCTCAGCCTTCCTCCCTGCTCATTACCGTCCAAGGCCACCTCCCACCCACAGGGAAAGAGAAGGCCATCACCCCAGGGACCCAGGGACCCAGGGAAGGGGGCCTTCCATAGGGTTAGACAAAGGCAGAGTTAGCCTTCGCCCGCACCTGGGCTTCCCTTAGCTCCTCCTCACCACTCTCATGTCCTGGCCAGGCAAAATTCATAATGGGCCAGCCCCACGCAGCAGAGAATGCTATCAAAGAAGACCCAGCCTGAACCTTCACTCTCAGTGCCTCAAGGTGAAGCAGAGCACAAGGTGAGAGATCAAGGGTGAGAGGGCGCCCACTTGACAGGACAGGAGATGGTGGTGTCACCTGGAAGAAGAGGGAAGACCCAGTTCTGCTGGCCAGGGGCACACTGTCCTTCGGGAGCAGGTGGGGTGTGTGGCAGCCTGTGGGTGCCTGGGATTCTTGCTCACATCTCTGGTGATGACAAGCACTGTGGCCTAACAGACCCTAGGGCGCCTCCCTCTGAGTGAGACCTCTACTGCATTTGCACAAAAAGGCTTTGAAAAGACCCTTCCATGTAGTGTGTCTTGCTCGATGCTGGGCATACAGCAGGTACTCAATAAAGGCTGCTGTGATGGCATGCAGGGTCCCCCAGTGGTGGGGAGGGAGAGGCAAGTGCTCCAGGCTTTGACCCTTTGCCTGGAACCCCCACCACAGGTCCTTGCGTGAGGAGCTGAGCTCTCCAGTAGCGTCTTGGGCCTTGAGGCTGGAAGTTTATTTTCAGATTTGAAGCTCCAAAGTGGCAGATCCCAGAAAACCTCTTCTCTGGCTCCGTATTTGTTCTCCAGCTAAGTGGTTGAGTGCAGCCCTGTGGGTCAGCTGGGGCAGGCTGCCTGGGGTTCCTCCTGGGGAACTGGGGGCTTGGGGAAGAGAAGAGGAAGGAGCTGGGTTGTCCACTCTGCAGCAAAAGTGGACAGTGAGCCTCAGGGGAAGTCTGTCCCCTCACAGGCTTACTTGCTGCCCACTCAGAGCTGTTGCTGATTCTGGGCCCTCCCTCCTTCCCTCCGCTCAGAAACATGCTTTAACAGTTGAACCTCTATGCTGTGCCAAGATATGGTCCCACTTGACTAGCAAGACAGTGGAAGCCAAAGAAGGGGCCCATGCGGGTGAGTCCACCCAAGGTTAGGGCTGATGTGATCGTCTCCAGCTCCCATCTGGCCACCCCAGGGCCAGAGTCACACCCAGAGCTAAGCACAGGAGAGTCTGGGAGAGGCCTGCAGACTGCTGCCCAGCATCTGGGTGGGGCTGCAAGGGTTGAAGAAAGGGTCTCAGGCCAGCAATGAGCCAAGACCTACTCCCTCCCACCTGCCCTCTGGGGAAGTGCAACGCAGGGTCTGTTTCTTTCTAAAGAAATCCCAGGGCTACTTTGACCCCCCCTGTCCCAGACTGAGAGGGGAATGAGTGAAGCCGTCAGCTGGCTGGCTGGGAGAGATGTAGCCTGAGGTCCTGTGGCTAGCATCCTGACCCCGGTTTGGTTTCTGTATCCCCCACAAGATGCATTTCTTCTCCCCTCTCACCTGTCAGCTCCTCCCTCCTCCCTAGCCCACTCTGCTCCAGGAGGCTGCCAGCCCTGCTTGCTGACCTTGGTACACAGCCCGCCCCTGTCTGAGAGTCAGCTGGCGCTTGCCCCTGCTTCTGAAGACACCCTTCCCCGAAGACCTGCATAGCTCACTCCCTCACCTCCTTCTATTCTATGCTTGAAAGGCACCCTACTGTGACTGGACTCCAGACTCTCTGAGCACCGTGGTTTTTAGCTGTGACCCATTCCTTTTACTTTTTTGCTTTGTATTGCACTCACCACCCCAAAGAACATGCGCCCCACCCATGAGGAGAGAAGTGGCTGGGTTATTCCTAGTTCACTGATGGGGCCCGGGTGCCTAGCACAGTCCTGACACAAGCCAGGGAATACACCAGTGCTTGAATCCATGCACTCCCACTTGCCCAGAAAGTCGGGGGAGGGAGTGGCTGGTGGGGAGTGGGGCTAAGGTCTTTCTGAGCCCCTTCCTCTGCAGCTTTGCGTGGGTGACAGGCTGTGTCCCAATCCAGCGTCTCCAACACCCCCACCCACCTGAGCACATGCATTTGGGGCTGAGGGGGTGGGCAGGTCCAGCGCGTTAGTCCCAGATGTATAATTTAGACCAATCTCAGGGTAGAGGCCCCAGAGACACCTGAGCATAAGGGGCTTAGTGGGAGAAACTGAGGCTGGGGAAGAGTGGCGTCGGACCTCGCACGCACTCGACGTTCCGAAAGGAATTGTTACCGCCCAGTAAGGGCCGCACTGTCCCAGGGGCTCTAGTGAGGTGGGTGAAGTCATTTTTGACCGACATCTTCCCCTTTCCCGACCCACTGCACCGCTCCCAGCCGCCTGCGGGAGGGGCCGGAGGGCGCGGCGGAGAGGAAGGGCTCCGGGGCTCCCCCTCTCGCGGCAGGACCCCCACCCTGGCCTCGGGTTCCGGGAAAGCCGCCCAGCTGTTTCTGATTCTTTCCCACTCGCAGCCCCGCCCCAGGGCTGGGGGACCGCCGGCAGCAGAGCAGAGCCAGGCTGCGCCCCGGGGCGGCGAGGTGCGTCCCCGAGCGCAGGTGCTGCCCCC